TGCTTGGAATTGAAAATACACAATTGAAATAGCCTCGACAAGGGCTTGCAATTTATCTACTTCTAAGCTTAACACATGCACGATATTCACAATTCGAAACTAGAAGTCACGAGACTTACCTGGGGTCCTCTAGACTTACAATTTGCTAGCAATCCCACGGCGAGCTTCGAGTCCCTAGAATCTTACAACACGAAGATGATCAAAACACACAAGGAATATTCACAAGATACAATATGCACAATCAAACTAAATTTAACCCTAAACTTTGGTTGCTAAACCGTTTGCAAATCCCCGGCAACGGCGCCAAAAATTTGATCGGTTGATCAACTATACATCAACCTTCGCAATAGCACGAATCATTGTAAAATAGGGCTATTGGTCGGGTAAGTCAAACCACTGGGACTGCGCTAGTCTAAGGCAACCTAAGTGTTTAAAGTCATTCTTAGGATGATGAAGGGGTGTTCATAGAGGTTTTGTTTGTTGTCACTTAAATTAGGAATTCAAAGTGCATAAAACACTAATTTGCAAGGAATTTAGGATGAAAAGATTAAGAAGAGGAGACTAGGGAAGTGAATCCGCCTCCATCCCTATACATATGCTAGATTAGACCTAAATTGGGGGAAAAACAACATATGATGGTCAAGACTTACATAGCAACACATGGTTGCCATATAAGTAATCAAGAGGTACATTAGGTCTCAAACAAGTATAATCCATCAAAAGATAAACATGCTTAGACTACCTAACTAAGGTGTAGCTTATACACATTTACTTAAATGAGAGACTATCAAGTTCTTGACAAAATGATAAAGCACATGGAGTTAGATATTAAGCATACACCATCAAAGGATTTCCTAAGCAATGGTCTATCAAAGTCACCTATCAACATGCCATGAAACCATTTCATAACCTTGCTTCCACTCTCACCATGGAAAACTCAAGCAATATGATTACTCTAAGACATCATCTAAGACAAGATAATCAACCTAAAGAAATCATCCATACATGTATCAACATTCATTACAACAAATGAGGTGCTCTTGGTTATAAAAAAAAACCATAAAATATACATGGCAAATCCCCAAAATAGACTATCCTAGGACATGCTTACAAGGGAGGGACTTCATCACCTACCTAGAGAAAGAGTTAGTTACCCATTGCTAAGCTAAAAGAAGGAAGAAGCTCCATCCAAGACTCCATTTTCGTGCTCCTACTGTAGCACTCAAGAACACCCTCCTCCTTGCTCTCTTCTCTCTCCTCTATCTTGCTAGAATATAGGATAATGTTTTGTGTGCTCCTTCCTCTCTCTTATCAAGCTCAAGTCAAGGCTCTCTCTCCTCCAAGGAACACCTCCAACCACTTCATAAAGAAGGAAGATGGCATTGAGGAAACCAATGTGCAAGTGGCTAAAATTAAGCCATTTCCGAGTGCAATCTGCCTGATTTTCGAACACTCGAAGAGTGGTCTCGAGCACTCTAAATTAGTGTAATGTGTAACATGCTCTTCTTGCTCAGCACTGACCTACTTTGGTAAAACTGCTATAACTTTGTGCCCCAAAATCCGAATGATGATCTGTTTGAATATTTGGAGAGCTGATTCAGTGTTTTAAAAACTTCATGTTTTGATGAAGACCCAATTCTCAAGTCTGGTTGGTCGAAAATGGGGAGAAAGGCAGTACTTCAGTGCTGCCAGGCAGTTCTGCGCACCTCTGTTAAGAAGATCATTACTCTCTGCTCCGAACTCCGAATGACGAAGAGCTTGAAGATTTGGAAAGCTGATTCAGAGCTATAAATATGTCATGTTATGATAGAAGTCCAGTTCTTGAGTTTTCTAGGTCAAAATGGTGAGCAAAGTCCAGGATCCACTGCTGCCAGAAATTCAGCCTTGTGCCCTTTTGATGGTCTAAAATCCACAAAGTCTTATTTTTACTCCTTTTTGGCAAAAGGACCTGAAAATACATAAAAACATAGAGATGAAGATAATCTACATAAATTAACATACAACGGACTTTACTAATGCAATTTAGGGCGTTTGAATATACAATATTCGGCGCTTATCAAGAAGTTCTCGAGTCCGGAAATCGTGCCAACCTCCAAAATTCTAAAAATGACATCGTCGCTTCTAATTGACTTAAAATGATTAAAAATACACTTCTAAAACCCTTGGCTTAACAATTGACCAAAATGCCCCTCGGGACCTACGTGGCACGCAAAACGAGGCAAGGATTAAAATAATCCAAAGAAATCAAATAAATTCTAGAATTTAGAAAATAGAAAAAAAAAAATCGGTAACGTTACAATTTTTTTTTTTTTATGCATTTCAACAGATTGTGGTAGGTCCTGTAATGTTTGTGCCTTTATATATATATATGTCTGTGTGTGCGGTGTGTATTAAGAAAAAAAGAAAAAAGAAAAAGAGAAAAGAAATATTAAAAAAAAAAAAGTGGGACCCACAAATGTTAAGACCATGTTTTTTTTCACTGTAACCTCATCTTCTCTCTCTCGCGTCCATCTCTCTATTTGTCTCTCGGCTCCTTCTCTTTTTTCTTTTTTCTTTTTTTCACTTCAAGCTTTAACCCTTGATTACTCTCTCAATCCTTGCCGAATTTAGGTGTCGTTTGAGGGAAAACGACGAGCACGACGAGCCCTACGTGCCGGTATCAGAAATTCCAGCTTTTGGTCCTCTTTGGGAGCTCGAATTTGAGGACCCATTTTCTAGGGTTTTGGTGCAATCTTGAGGTAGGGACATCTTAAGCCATGGAATCTTGTTCCATATTGAATCATGCTCTTCTAATTGTGTTACAGCATGTTTGATTGCTTTGATTCTTGTTTAAACTGATATATTTGAGAATATGCCATGTTATGTTTATGCGTTACTTGATTGAATGGACAGCATGTTTATGTAGTGAGTTTCTATCATGATTATTATTTTACAAGCATGCTATAATGTTATATGAAATGGTACTTGTTGTAGAGTGTTAAATTCCCATTTATCATTGTATTGACATCATGTAAGATACATACATTTTATTGGGTTGCAAAGGAAGGGATGTTGGTGTTTGAAAAGAAAAATGGGAATTTTGGGTGATGTGTTTGGAAAAATTGGTTTTGATAAACCCGGTCGTTGCGGGGTTACCAACGGGCCGGAAGTTAATATAGCCTAGAGGGGACTAGGGAGTCGCCCTAGTGTGGTTGAGCTAGCTGGGCCCCATAATGACGCCGCTGGGTTACCAAGGGTCAGGGACACTAGCCAATCCTCCTCTCGTGTCGCGGTGGGGTTACCAAAGGGCGGGCTGTATTAACGTTTGAAAGTGATGGTTTTGAGAATGAAAATGGGGAGTGTCATTGACATGCATTGCATTTCATTGCATTGCATTACATTGTTTATAATTGGAATTGAAATGTATGTTGTATTTGATACCCTACGTTGTATGATCCCTATCTCCCATTGGCCTATGCTTTGATTGGATTCACTAGGACACAAGAATTGTGTCTTAAGTGTCTCTGCTGAGCTATATGCTCACCCCTATATCTATATATTTTTTTTTCAGGTCTTGGAAAAGAATCGGTAGACGACAATCCACCCCAACTTTGAAAGTTGCTAGAGGAGCATTTTCCTTGTTATTTTGTAATAGACTACTCCTTTGTTCATCCCTCATTTTTTGTAAAATTCCAAAGGTGTAATGATGTAAATTTCCTTTGAAGAACCATGATCATGTAATACACTTATGATACTTGATGACATATGGGATGCGAACTTGATGATATGTAACTTGTTGATGAATGGAAGGATAATCCTAACTTGAAGCATTGTCTAGATTAGTAGGTTGTATCATTATCTTTTGTTGCCGTGAATTCAGAAATTAGTTGCATGATAGGTTAATTATGCATTTAAACAGGTTGCGGTATGTCCATTTTTAGGGGAGGTTATGCTGAATTTTTTTTAAAAAAAAATTCTTGGCATTAGTTTTGGGATCGTTACAGGTCCCTTTTTAGTAGAGGTCATGCCGAATTTTTTTTAGAATTGATATCATTTTAGGGTCATGACATTCCCTCTCTAAATAAAATTTATCTCATAGCTAACTGCAGTGCATCTTATAATTCAAACTGTTCGAAGTGATTTCTCTCCGAATTTGATGAGAGAATCATTGGAGCTAATGGGGTCAGTATCACTTTGAAAAGACAAAAGTTGAGCAGCCATTGTGGACTTCATGTATTATGACCAAATAAATTACAGAATTAAGTTGAGCAGCCATTACTTTCCGAAAAAAAAAAAAAAAAAGTTGAGCAGCCATTGTGCCATTGTGGATTAATACTAGACTGCAATATGGTACCTGAATGAACTTCAAATAGTATTGATTACAAGATACAAACAAAGATGCCAAATACAAGAGTTGATTTACAATTACAAAAGATAAGGTCTTGGGACTTCTACGAAGAAGAATCAATGGATTGAGAACATAGTAATAATCATGGACTAACTAAGATTAACCAAGTTAGATAGGCTAGACTAAACCAAATTGTGAATTACACTAGTATTTGTAGAGAGGATGAGGAGATGCAAAAACATATGTTTAATTGGCTTATATGTTGGTAAGTCCAATCAGACTGTGTCCTTGTTAGCATACCTAACAATGGAACTAGAATTCCAACCAACTTCCGGTAACCAAATTTTGAAAATTTTAGGAATTCCAATTTCTTCTTCGGTGACTATACAATGGTTCATAAAGGTTCTTACTCTATGAATATACAAGTTAAATCTAGTTTTGAAGTTTCGATTGCACTTACGAGAGATCTCAATTATTATCTTAAAAAGTCATTACACGCTGTAAAGCTATGATTCGAAATTATTTCTAATTTTTTTACTAATTTTATTTCAGGATATTATTATTTATTGCCCATCTATATTTATAATGTGATAATTTGTTCCAACAATTTGAAGATATTATTATTATCTTAATCCATTCTAACATGTTCTTTCTTGCACAATAACAACATATATATGATCTACTTTTCATGCACAAACTTGGTATTCACAATCACAAATGAGAACAATTCAGCAGTCATGGGATCTTCATCTATCATACAGAAAAGGTGGTTGCAGAGCATCCTCAGGACTCCTTTTTTATGAGATGCCATAATGTTTGATGCATGAGATGAAGGTACAATCATTTTAATATTTAGGTGCAGCCCCCAGCAGCAAACCCAATTCTCGAATTGGAGACATCATACGCCACACTATACGTCTGCTGCTGAACGCTTCCAATAATGACGTATCCATGACTGTGCGAGTTGTCTGCAAAGGCCAAGCACAAAGTGCCCTCCTCATTCCCTTCTACAAGAATGTTTTGAGGTGCAAGAGTGAGTTCGGCCTCTCCTTGAAACACCATCCGAATCTCAGGCACATATGATGACATCTCCTTCAAACTACCTTCATAACATGTATCGAGAAAATGATGATCCGAGAAAGTTCGGATAGTCTTGTTTTTCGAGGACATGATCCTTTTGAACTCATCACGGAGATCTGCATATACTAATGTAGGCAGACGCGTGACCTCCGTCCCAGAATCTATAACTGTTGGTGTGTTGCAGTACTGGGACTGTGCCACCATTACTGTCTTGCCTGCCACTACAATTGCAGACAAACGCAAATAGTAAAGGTTACTATCCATATCCGGGCAATTAGGAAGCATTGGAGTGAAGTTGTAGGATGGTCCCGTCAATGAATCCTTTCCTATGGACAATGAGCCTCCACTGCCTCCCCTCTGTGTTGGGAGGCAGTAGGAGAAGTCATGTCCATATCTGGCTGACAGCTGAGAGATCATGGAGAGATTGTTACGAGCCAGGCCAACCAAACCAGTGGTTCGACCAAACAACACAATCTGACTTTCAATGTTCAGCCCACATCCATACACAAAACCCGGCAGTGTCTCTGATTGTGTTAGGGTCAGTGTATCCTGACTCAAGTAGCCAACGGAGAAAGAATCATCCGCATAGCTAGCTTTGTACTTGCACTCGTTCAGAGAAGTGCAAGTTCCGTGATTCTGAGTGGCTCCCTCGAGTGAATTGCACTGGGTATTTGAGCACGGTAACTTTTTGTAGGTTCTGGATGCAGAGGGATTGAAAACGCCAACGCCGTGTTCGTGGCATTGCACCCAGGTGAAGGAGCTGCCAGTGTCGATGACCACGGAATAGTATTTTGGTGGAGTGCCAAGGCCAATGTCGACATAGTAATTGTACGTATTCAGAGAAGCAGCTTTCACGGGTGTGCTGAAGAAATTCGGTCCAAAAAGATGTGATTTGCGTGCGTCATGTCCACCACGCACATGGTATAACTTCAAGTGCAAAGTTGAATGGTTGAGTCCTTGCTCAGTTTCTGCCCAAAGAAGAGAAATAGAAGACAGTTAACTAATGACCCTTTTCAGCTATGAATATTATGCACAACATACAATACTTATATGGTCATATTCCCAACCAATAAAATCCATGGAATCGGAGGAATTAATACATCTTACATGTGAACAAAGAAATTAAATGTTGTATAATATGAAATGTTGCAGACAATAGATTGAACCAAATGAGATAATCACATCACATGCCTTGATGCCCTGCAAATGAAGATGTTGCAAGCAGAAGAAAAGAAGCCAGGAACCAAATCAATTCCATTTCTCCTACACCTTTGGAAATGCTTCAAGTGAATTCCTATATGTATACATACATATATATATATATATACATATCCTACACACACATATATACACAAAGAAATGCAAAAGTTTGAGTCACAATATTGGGACGACTTTGGGTCTTCCCATAACTCCAAGAACAATTCTGAGACGACTGAAGACCTAACTCCGTGAACAATTCTGAGACGACTTGGGTCTTCACATAAGTCCATGAGTTCCCAAATCAGAGATAGAATTTGAATGGTAGAACCAATCTACCATGTCTAAATTAAGGGGTCCATTCCATTATGAGAAAGAGTCAAAAAAGAAAATTGGACACCCCCAAAGGGTCTCTTTTGCAAAAGGAAAGGAAGCTAAAACAGAACCATATAAAGGGAAAGAGTAATTCAAGGAAATTCTTTTTTTCACTTTTTTATTTTTTCCCCTTTTTTCTTGTTAATTGTCAATCCTCCCAAATTCATTGAAAAAGATTAGAATCCTGTACAGCGTATCCTTTATTTATTTATTTTTTTTATTATTATTGTAAATAATGTTTTTTCCCCCTAATTTTTGCAATTGAAATTAGTAACTGTCTACGCTGCTTTTCACCTGTATTATTGATCCATGTGCAATACTCTAGTAAGAGAGTGGATGGTCCTCAATTGACAATTATGTAGATTACTCGTAGTTATAGTGTGTATGAGGTCCATAGCGGTCCCTAATATCCAAGCAATTTTGTATATTCTTCATATGTTCTACCAGTTAAAACTGCCAGAGGGTGTTAGTTTTTTTCAGTCATAATACATGAAGTCCACAATGGCTGCTCAACTTTTGTCTTTTCAAAGTGGGACTTAGGGACGAAGCCAGAAAAAAATTTCAAGGGCGCACGTTATAGTACTATATACCATACAATATATTTATAATATAATGTACATATATATAAGTCAATATATATATATATATGTACGTAGAAAGAGATAATGATATTTTTGGAATGAAATTAATTTATAGATATAGAATATAAGGATTAAAGAAACAATTTAGGATAAAAAAATATGAAACATATATAGAATTCTATGGAGAATGAGAAAATTCAAGGGGGCACTTTCCATATTTTCATTAAAAAACATATATATTATTATAAAATATATATAGAATATAAAAGAGGGAGAAAATTCACGGGGGGGCATGTGCCCCTCCTGGTCCTTAATTGGCTCTGTCCCTGGTGGGACTGACCACATTAGCTCCAATGATTCTATCATCAAATTCGGAGAGAAATCACTTCGAACAATTTGAATTATAAGCTGCACTGCAGTGGATTTCATGTATTGTTCTCATGGTCTAAGAAATTTGGACCAGTGATTCGGCTTTTTTATTTAGCTTCTTAATTATGAGAAATGATTTCCTCTGGAGAGGTTATTGAATAGTGATACTTAGGGCCTATTTGATATCAATATTTAACGCTTAACACAGAACACGGTAAGCGAATTTTTAAAATTAGCGTGTTTGACAACATTTAGGTTACCACTTAAAATATTAAGCGTCCCGGACCTTGATTAACGCTTATCGCAGAAGATGGTAAGTGATTTTTGATTTTAAAATATTTTGTTAATGACAATGTTTTTTTCAGTAATTAAGTAATTCATATAAATAAAAAGAGTAATTACAAAAGAGGAAGTCATTTCCCTCAACCCAAACATAACTGGCAAGGACACAAAGAACAAAATGTCCATTATAGTGGCCCAAAGAACCCAACAAAGAAGTCCAAAACCTGACTAAACCAATGGTCCTAACAAATACATCATTCTGCACACAGGTATGTAACTACCTTCAATCATATCCTCGGGTGGGATGAAACAACAAACCATAAAGTATCAACATGACTAGGTTATTGTTGGGTGTGTTGAGTTGATGGGATCGATGGTGGAGGTGGTGGTGGTGGTGGAGGTGGAGGTGGAGGTGTTGGAGGTTGTGTGTGTTGGGTGGTTGTGAAATGGAAGAATGGATTTGATTGGGCAAGCTCATAAAATGATGATGTGAGATTCCAATCTGCTGCAATTTCTTCTGCAAATGGGCATTCAAATTTCTTGACAGAGAATAACTTTAGTCTGATTGCATTGATCACTGAGTTCATTGTTTGGACTGGAGGTAATGAAATATTTCTGAACATTTTATTGTTTCGCTCCTTCCAAATGTGATAGACATAGCTAGCCAATGCTAGCTTTCATACCATGACTCTGCTTCTCTTAAGTTTTTGCTTCCAATTAGAGGATGCCCAAATTAGGGAGTCCTTCCAAGAGTTAGGATTTGTGTAAAACCCACATTTATGTTATAGACCAGCCTATACAATTTTTGAATAATCATAGTGGTGGAATAGATACTCATAGTTCTTAGCAGCTCTTAGACAAAGAATACACACATTAGGTCGCATTGTGTAGAGGAGTGCAACAGATGCTCATGGTTCTCAGCAGCTCTTAGACAAAGGATACACACATTAGGATGCATTGTGTAAAGGAGTGCAGGTTTATCTTGAGTAAGTAGTTTTTCTTGAATTGCTAACCACTGGTAGAAGGAGTGTTTTGGTATGGCATGTTTAAACCAGGTGAGCTTATGCCAGTGGGTAGGTGGGATTGGTTGGGTAATGGCAAGAAGTGTATGTTTAAGGGAGTATGTCTTGTGGGATTGGTTGGTATGGCATGTTTAAGGGAGTATGTCTTGTTAATAACAATGTAACCCTTAAATATTATATTTTTAGGTTCTCCATCAATTTTTCAACTCTTGAAATTAAACGTATTGATGCTACTCTATTAAATGTATTGATATACTTTTTATTTCCACTTTACATTTCTATTCCCTTCCGATATATATATATATATATATATATATATATATATATATATATATATAATTTACTATAATTTCTCAAATGTTTCGATTTCAATGACATACAACCAGGTAAGTTCCCAAGTAGATGGGCTCCATCTACCTAGGAGCTTACGTTGTATGTCATTGAAATCTTGATTGACAATTCGGAAACGTCCTTCCTAAAATACCTTTCAAATTCCAACATGAATCAGGTTTCAAACCAAATCTTCTCAGAGTGGGATTTACGAAAAGAAAAAAAAAATGGAAAAACCAAATCCGTCTCAGAGTGGAATTTACAAAAAATAAAAATAAAAATAAATAAAAAAAAGAAAATTCTTATTTTTTTTTTTTTTATTTTGTTCTAAGCCAAACCAGACCAATCCGGACCGAACAGTTCCCTAAGATGAAAAATAATTACATAAAGCACCTTAAAAACCGAAAATGTTTTCGAAGAAACCATGGCTGAAGAGGATGAAGCTGCAGCCTCGGGAGGATCCTGAACTGGATCTTAGGGAGGAACAACCCTGGCTCTAACCCTCCGCTCATAGTGCCTGTTGGTAACCTGGAAGCATTACTGAAAAGTTAATTACTTTTTGTGATACCCCTCGATTCTAGAGTCAATTGTGATCAAGTCCAAGCACAGATCCGAAGGATACCAAACAATTAAGCATATAAACAAGCATAAAATACAAGAAGAATTAAAGAATAAATAATAAATAAGCTAAAAGAAAACTAAATAATAAATCCATAACTTAATAAATAAATCATCCTCTAAATAGAATAATTCAAAGCCTCCGATATCATTACAACTCGGGAATCCATCTAGTGGACCTCTAATGATATCCTAATAGGAAAAATAACTAACCTGTAATCAAATCCAAAACTAAAACATAAAGAAGAGTCCTACGTAGTCAGAAGTGTGAATAACTGTCTCTGCTCGGCACGAACAATCTCTAAGACTGGAACTGTTGAATACTTGAAAAAATAATATTGGGTCAGGCCCACGAACAAGTTCTACTCTATTACAATCCAAACAGAGACCCGATACACGTATACATCCTAATCAACTCAGCAATAGCTAAATAGTCCATACATATATATACATACTATAGGACGCTCAATGGACTATAGGTCTGCCTCAACCTGAATAGAAGGTAACATGCAAATCGCATATAAAGTGGGCATGAGTACCTAGACCTACATGTTCACACAGATGTCTACTATATCCAATTATCCATCCTAGGCAATATACGCATCCTAACCATGATCCTGAGACTCAAGCTCATATCATGACACCATAATCATATATATAAAGTCCGTATAAGCATAAGATAAAAATGTCATCCATCTGATACAATGGCCTGGCATAAATATGGAGGACTTAACTTCTTTAGTTAATCCATTCCCTTATAAATAAATAGGTAGGATTTAAATTCTTTGGTTAATCCATCTCCAAAATGCCACTGTCTCATACCGGTGCATTACATCCATACAGTCCAATAATTGATGAAATAATTAAAATAGCAAGTCAATTTATTCTAGAAACAAGCATAATAAGAATTAGATAATAGCATGATCATATTATACTGTCAATGCATGATTAAAATCATATATCATCAATTTAGATTGCTAGAATAATACTAGGCAATTAAACTATCCATTAACAACATATAAATTTAATTAAAATTTCATATTGTTCATCGTTCCATAGCATATAATTATTAATTATGCATTCTAGGTATTTAACATGATCATTGTAATCATTTAAATCACCCATAATAACCTACACAGCCTTGGAACATCCCAAACCCCAAAATAGTAGCTGAAAATCCCAAAATATTAAAGTAGCAGTGATGGAGCATGCTCTAAAATCAGGGAGCAAGCTCTGTCCTCTTAAGAGCAAGCTCTGTCCTCGTGGGAGCAAGCTCTCGTCTTGAGGGAGTAGGCTCTCAACTCCATGGAGCCAGCTCTTTCTCCCTCAAAGTCGTCAAAATAATTCCTTTTTAAGAGCCGACTCTCACCCTTGGGAGCCGGTTCTCACCTTATTCTACATCATCTTCCTCGTCTCTGACTAATTCCAATCCCTCTGTTCTCCATTGTTGATGGCTCTAAGAGTCTAAACTATGTCCCGAATCATTCCAGTAATTTATATAAACCAATTATGCATCATTAACATCTATTAAAACAAATACTCATAGCATAAATTGCAAGATCAATCAATTACAAATAAATTCATCTAACATTGTTTTAAATCATAATTAGCATGTATAATAGATTAATTTAAAGTCTGATTAGTTCCTAGAATTAACTTAGGCCTGTATAGAAACATGAAGTCTAAAGGAAGAAGTAAGAG